CCCCAAAACCCCAAAACCCCAAAACCCCAGCTTAATAGAAACCCCGAAATATATTAAAAGTCATCACGTGTTAAATATGGAGAAATGAAGCCGTTTAGTCAAGGAAGAAAATGCTAAGTTCAACCAAAATTTATCTTCCAACAATTATTTCCACATCTCCAAGTTGGTTTTCTTCAAACACTCGTTTAGCTTTATTTTTGGTTACTCTGCAGCAGTAGATATCTACCTCTTTGAGACTCAACCTTAAATCTGGAGAACTTGCTAGCCCTTGTATCAAGTTCTTGAACTGGTCAGGACTGTCCTCCCACTCACTGAAATAATAGTTTCCTGATCCTTCAAAGCCTATTTTCTGGATTTGGCAATTTGTAAGAGCCTTTGAAAAATCAGGAACACTTGGAATAGATAGCTTGCAACGAAGAAATACTAACCCTCTGGTATGCTTGTAAGCTGCCACCAGTCTCTTCAGTTGGGGCAGCCCAATGCAGAAATATTGTATCGTAACTGTCTGGACTACTTTAGAGCTGAGCCTGAGCAATGAGTTTAAGTAATTCGACCTATTCAGATCCATTTTATTCCAGGAGTAAAAATGGAGTACATTAGTTTTATTTGGAAATGAGGATTCTAAGAAATTTAGAAAATGCTTATTTTTTGAATTGACATAATTAAAAACAATCCGATTAATATCAAATAATTTGAGATTCTTTAAACTTTTCGAAAGCTTTGCATTTCTGAGATCAATCATAAGTTCACTATTTTCTGGAACTTCTTCAGAGTCTGGATCCAATGGCTTAATCTCTTCTTTCTCAGGATAGATCTTAGAGAGAATGCTCTGGCATCTGTTGATGTCTTGTTCTTTGGTTTCTTCCAGAATAGACTTCTCTAGACTGAACAATTAGAGATGGACGAGGAGGGGAATTCATATTAGAATCGATCAGAAAGTTCAAGTTGGGTCCATAAAAGAGTGTTAATTGAAATATTGATAAGTCTGAAGTTTAAGTCTTTAGAAGAAAAAACAATTTATTTAGATAATAGTTGATCAATAGAGAGATAAGGCTACCAAATTCTCTTCAGTTTAAGCTATAACTTCATGCCAAAGAAATCTTCAATGTAATGATTTTAAAAGCTGATGAATTTCAGTTTTGACATTAAAATTTTGGAGCCTGTGACAAATTAGAGGATCAAAATTTAGAGAATTCTAAAATTCATTTATCAGTTACGTGATTATCTCTGTGTTCTCTTCTTCAACAACTTTGGGAATGCTATCCATTTTATTATTCTATTATATAAATTTAAACTTTATTTTCAATATTTATTCAGAGGTGTGGGGTTTTGGGGTTTTGGGGTTTTGGGGTTTTGGGG